ATCGATTATGAGGGCAAGGGTATGAAGAGCACCTAGTTGATGATTTAAGAGAAGGTTGAAGCTCATTGGTCGCTTTTGGTAGGACTTTATGAAACTCGTCAATGCATATACTGAGGAAGAGAAAGATGCTGAGTGGAATAATTTCAGGGCTAAATACAGCCATAATGTGTGGGACACGGTCTTCGAATATATCAAGAAAGAATGGCTTCAGGAAGATATGGCAAAACACTTTTTAAAATGCTATACCAATGAGTATCTGCATCTCAATAAGCAAGCAAGCTCACAGGTTGAAGGTGCCCATTGGATTATCAAACGTGACCTTGGAACTTCCACAATGGACCTACTTAGAGCCACACTATCAATTGAAATGACAATTGAAAAACAACACCAAAAAATATGGCAGGAAATTGAGGATGAGCGCGTCCAAATAAAGATAGATTTCAAGAACCTGCGGCTTTTTAAGCATGTTTTGAAGAAGGTCTCAAGTCATGCACTGAAAATAATCCATAGTATCTTTGAAAGATACCTCCCAGAGAGCGCCCCTGATAAAAAGCCAATTAAGCCCTGCACGGGTGTGACTCGACGGACTCTAGGGATTCCTTGCATCCACAAAATCAAGGAATACTATGAGGCTGACACATCGATTGAGCTTTTTGAATTCTGTCCACATTGGCAGCTGCATACCGACGAAGACCTTCCTCCTATGGATCCACGAGAATTAGTCCTGGAGCTAGAAGTAATCAGACCGCGTGGCCGTCCTCCTGGTGCAATTAACTGGCCAACTACAAGCGAGCAGAGCCAGTCAGCTGAAGATAGATCTACTAGAAGAGATCCCTCTGCATTTGAACATCTATTGACTCAAGAATCAAGCCGAGGACGAGGAAGTGGCCACGTACGTGGTAGCTGTGGAGGAGGACAGGCAAGGAGTGGGCGTGGAGCAAGACAACGAGGTCGTGGTAGTCATGGAGAAGGACAGGCGGGTCGTGGGCGTGGAGGAAGACAGCAGGGTGGCGAATGTGGTAGCGGCTCTGCAGGCACCAGTGAAGTTAGCACTCAAAGTCACGAGAATGATGATAATGAAATTAGTGAGAACAGGGATGATAAGACCAACGAGAATCAGATCAGAAGAAGCAAGTGACGTGGCCATGGCCAGCCAGCGCCATGGCTAGGCGATGAGAATGAGTAACAGGCAAGGAAGGTGCAATTTCTTTTCTGAGACAAGAATCTTACTTTGCTGAAATACTATATGATTAGACTAGCAGGAAAAATGACAATTGATAGTGATGTGATAGACTTAGCCCTAACCCTAGATTCCATTGCCAAATATGGCAATGTTTGGAAGGAAATTTGATTTTCTGATCACATGACACGTGAAAATTATCCAATCCGTATAACTGAGTCACGTGGGGGTGTCGCTAGAACGACACCCTGGTGTCGCTGGAACTAGGGGGGTGTCGCTAGATCACCACCCTTTATTTTATGTTCTAATTAGTAATCCCCCAACCCAACTTAGCCCAGCTCACCGCACTAAGCTTTTATATAAATCCGAGTTTATAAGTGTGACGGAGTGACAGCTTAGCCCCTATCATAGCTCCCGCAGGCTTGGTCCCGATTAGGAAACCATTTGTTAATTGGAAATCCTTTGTGTCCTTTATTATAATATATCTAGATCTTACAGCCCTATGCTGAGTAGTGTTACGGCTATGTCAACAACATCTAACTGTTATATATCTATGAATTCACCTAGTTGTAAGGATTACTGTCGGTTTATCTACGTCTAGGTTGCTAGCACAAGACACGTAGAACAGCTAATTTGACAAGCTGACAAGTCTGATCAATATGGTATGGAATTCCTGATATTGATGACTGCCCCCCAAGAGTAAGGGGGGACGGGGGATAACTAGCTAGATATATACGCGGCACGCATGTGCCGCGTCGGACTAACTAATATCCAGTGCCAAAATGCGTAGGGTTGATATTCACGTTCCGACAATTACTTATGTATTGCTGTTGGTTTACCTTCATTAGATCGCAAGATCTAAGAAGGACAGCTAATCCAACAAGCTGACGGAGCCAGTAATACTGAATTCCTAACATTGCGACTAATCCTAAGAACTAGGGGGATGCGGGTGGTGAGATGTAGTTATCCTCCGTACGCTATAGCGCACGGATAAACTATATCCCATTCCCGCGCCGAGATAGGCAAGATTGCTATACCGACAATTGCATCCATGTGACACTGCGTTATATGACAGTGCCATAAGCCGATAGTCAGGTTGCTAGGTGTTACGGGCTAGTCCTGCCTAATGCTCACTACAAGGACATGATTGAGTGCAAAACACAACATGAGGAAAGGAAGAGGAAGGGACAACAAGATTTTCCGTAAATTCGAGTTTATATAAAAGGGGAACGCTCACGCTGGGCTGGATTCCGCCGCCGAATATCCGTATAGCCATAGACACCACGCGGGTGCCAAGACATGAAGTCATGTATTGTGCGTTCTAATTGGTCGACAGATTTAGCCTCCCGTTAGAGGGCAAATCAGCCAATCAGAATGAACTTTCGACATCTGGGAATAACTCCGAGCTGCCAGGTGTCGGATTGGTCGGTTTATTCCAGGCCAATCCTGAAGAGTGTTTTACTAGGATCAAAGAAAAGAAGTGACTAGCAAGATTGTATGTATTGAGTTCTGTGTCTGTCTTTCAAGTCTTTAAAGCCGGGTCCTTTATAGACACCTTTGGCGGGGTGATTTGTGAGCTATCAGGAGGGGTAAATATTGGGCGGAAATCTAGGTGCCCAGATATATGCCTAAAGGTGCCTTTTAGACCTGTAAGATTGAACAGTCGATCTTTCTGCCTCGTTTGAAAGCCGGATTATCTGACACCAGGCTGCGCTCCAGCGTTCTGGGTGCAGAAGCAAATGAAAACGACACAGATGTTCTGGTGAGGGCTTCGCCCAAACCACGTCAATATGAGGTTAGCTCATAACACTAGGCCCTTATTAAGCTTTTACCCCTATCCATATATTTCCGCTATTGTTACCTCAGTGCTCCCGTTGGGATGTCGCTACATTAAAGTTCGTTCTTAAATAGCCTTGACCACCTCATAAAATAAAAAGTGACCAGATAATTTTCTGAATATCTGAGATATAGCGGCGGACAATTTTGAATGACTGCTGACAGGATGCTTGACAACATTGGCCCCTTCCACACCTTATACAACAACTTCCACCTGATTATTGCTCTGGCCCTTAACCAGCTATTTAGCCCTGGTCAGGCGAAATCGCTACCACGTGTGACAGAGATCGAGGGCCCTTTCACCCATGGAAGAAAGAATTATCAATCATGACAACCAAAGAAGCACATGCGATTACGACTCAGTTACAGGAACTCGAGTTTTTATATGCTTTTGCTAAGGCTCGTCAGGTAGCTTTATTAAGGTACGATAGGTAACTCTTTAGGACCAGATCAAGCTTATGAATCGGTCAAAAACAAACTGGTGGTATCCCAACCATGTCCAAGCTTTTCGCAGTCACAGGTCAGAACAATAGGCGTAACGCAGGAAAGCGCGCTGTTGACACAGAAATCCTGTTGCGGGAGACACAGTCAAAGCCTCGAGATTCTGATCGCTATGCGACAGCCGTGGCGTGAATAAATTATCTGTATATTGGATACTTTTGCAGTCGTATTGCTCTCTTTGAAGGAAGGATGATCGCGTTTACTGACTCGTGATGCCTACTAGCCATGCCCGTTACCGACGCGCAAATAAAATAACCGATAATGATCTCCATACCTTGGGCGACGGTTTGGTGGAGATCCTAAACGTGATCGAGATAGAAGAATGGCGGGGACTTATCGACGTTGAGTGCCATTGGTATCTTTCACAAAAACTTAGGTGAGGATATGGGAATGTTGTTTGATCCACTTCCTTCAAAAACAGAAGGATGGAAAGATGGCCTACATTTCGCGATGGAATTAAGGAAGTGGACTATATCCTATGAAGAAGAAGTCGCACGGCCGACCGCAATAAACGATCAATACGTCAGGGTCTATGTCGCTTCGGCAATTTCAGCACTCCCCAGTTTCATAAGAACAATTGTACGACAGATGTTGAGTGCTGACTTGGATGATGTCATGAGAACGAGTCTCTGGTAAGCTCTCCATTCCCTGGATGATTTCAAAGGGATGCTTCTGGCCTTCAGTTTTATCGTGAGCTCATATATATTGCTATAATCCTAGTATTGAATCCCCCAGCTCTATACTCGTTATGGTGCTGGGCCTCGTCCGATACTTTCGAAAGCTATTTGTTCGATATCTTGCCCTTCCGCGGCCTCCCTTCCTAGCCGTCAAGCTAGTACATGATACGCCAAATCCTGAAACGAATTCATATAACTTTGAACCAAAGAGCCTGCAATCATGGTATGTCCGACCTACTTTCTGGTCGAAATGGGGACCTGGAGCGTTGTTGGTCAGAATACTAGGAGGCGATGTGCCAGGATCTCGCGGAGACCGATATGAACCACAAGGATATAACTTGATGAGTATCGGATCAGCACCACAGAAAGAGAAAGGACTTGAGGAGATGAGGTCAGATATGGATATTATCCGGGCGAGAGGTGTAGCTACATGTCCATTGTCGCAGGCAAATCTGGTAACCTGGAGTGATTTCTATTTGTACTATGCCGCCAACTAATCTAAAGATGCAATATGAAGGAAAGAAGAAATTTAGGTCTCTTCAACAAATAAGGCTGGTCAAAATGCGAAGAGAAAACCATACTACGGGTTATTGCAGCCAGCACTTATACCGTGCGTGATGAATGTAGTCTACTTTATCCTATTACCTGGTTTATTGCGTCATTTTGTCCGCCCACTTCAAATTATCAACAACCAAATTTGATCAATTCTTGCATTAATCGAGTTGAGCATCAATATTAGGACCGGTAGAGGACTGACTA